TGACAATTGTTTTTAATATCAACACGTAAAAAGAGCATTTTTTCGAATGTGGCTTTAAATATCTGTGTAAACAAAATGAAAATAAAAAAATTATACAGTTCAAGAGATAATTGCATCAAACAATTACATGAGGACACAGAAGTTATAATGTTTTATCAGTTTGTTTGTGTTGCCCCGCAAACCTGCACCGATAATTACTCGGTAGTCCGACGTGCTTTGTTTCAGTAAGTCGGGGGGAAGCTCCTTTTTTTAATTTACCATCTTCTCTTTGATTTTTCTTATTTGCTTTGTTTTCCGGGTCGATAAGGATTAAGTCTGTGAGAATAAACTCTAAAGATAATGAGACTGTTGTCAAGCGTTTGGTGAAAAACTAGTTCCTGAGGGACTCAATGTGAAGTGGGCGGGGCCTCCAGGTCCAGTCTGTCTGTCTTCAGCAGCACTCGAATACAAGACGTCAGGAAAAACCTTTAAGTCGTGTGAGACCTCAACACAATACATAATAAGTACGAGACACTAAATCACATGAATTCAATACTAACACCAGTTTTTTCTCCGTCCTCCTCCAGGTTGTCCGTCACCCTGTCCTGTCCCCTGGACCTGACATTGTTCCCCATGGACACACAGAGGTGCAAGATGCAACTGGAAAGCTGTGAGTCTTCCACAAATAACATCAGCCAACACATCTGCCGGCTGCGTTTCTGGGGAGTTGCTGTTTTTATCCGTGACTCGGGAATAAAATATAATATATTTGTGTTTGGTTTTTTTTGTTTTTTTTTTATAAAATAGCTGTTTGAGAGTAAATGAGCTTTTTTTTTTCTTCCTTGTGTTTAGAAGCCAATTCCAGCGGTGATCACTTAGAGCGGAATAAATCATCATATTTTAAGGTTGCTGTGGAAGTCTCACAGCTAATTGAGCTTGACTGTGGTTATTACATCTTGTTTACAAAGCAGTTTAGAGCCAAATACGTAAAATAACTTTCCCTCTAATAAATAAAATTTCCCTCTAATGCCGAATCCAGCTGCTGCGATTGATAGAATTCCACGCTTGTGTGCACATCATAGACGTTACATTAAATTCTGCGATTGTGTGTGTCTGCACATGCGCACACTGTACGTTGTGTTTAACCAATGTCAATGTCTTTGCCCGCTGACAGTTGGCTACACGACGGACGACCTGCAGTTCATGTGGCAGACGGGAGACCCGGTGCAGATGGACGCCATCGCCCTGCCGCAGTTTGACATTAGACAAGAAGACATTGATTATGGGAACTGCACCAAATTCTATGCAGGAACAGGTACTGTCCTGGTGATGAATCACATTTTAAGTAGATTATCCCAAGAAGCTTCTGTTCATTTCAGTGCATTGAGCATAAATCAGCCTTTCGCCCGTTTTCTGGATTAAATTGGAATTAATAAAAAAGTAGAGTGAAATATTTGAAACCTCTAAACTTACTTTTTCCTCCATCATCTCAGTGAACCACAATCACCCGCAACATTTGTGACTTCCGTTCATCGTGGGGCTTTTCTTTCATCCGTGCATTAATTATTCCCTTTTTGTTCTGGGTCGGCTCAGAGCAGCAGCGTCCTTGTTATTTCTTAGGCCCCAAAAGTATGTTCGTGTTTCCTCCCATGTCTCATCCCCCGATTGTTTTTAAGTTTGTGTTCCTGCTCCTCTCAGTGTGTTTTGTTTGTCATGGCAACTCAAGAGCTGCCCCACAGGTAGACTTAGAGCACAATAACAACAAATTATTTCATCGGTCTGGGATTTACTGCGACTTGGACATTGTCTTCGAGTCGTGTTGTGGAGCTGGATGGGTTGAAAGATGGAATTATTAATTAATTATGGGATTTATTTCTTACCATTCAGTATTATTCTTATGATCGTAAAGAACCTAGACCTTTAGACCTTTAACGTGAAAGACGTCTTGAATTAAAACCGGGTCGTGTTGACTGTGCTCGTGAGAGAAATCGATATTCATGTGATATTTCACTTCGTGTACCTCAGAGTTCAGAGTTATCAGTTTGTGATGTCTTTGCAAAGAGTTCCAAAACAGCAGAAGCCGCAGAAGTTTCATGTTTTTCTTGATTGCAAAGTCATGTTGATATTAGTTTGAGTCTTATTGAGTTTTTTTTTTGTCTGAGGAAAATGTTTCAATTCCCCAAAGTGCTGTATTTTGCCTCAGTATGTCTTTGTATTGTCGGCATCACGCTCTCCGCCTGCTTGCTAAATTGTTCGCCCGTTGCTTCTTCATATTTCTGTTGCAGAGCCGACGTTTTCAACCACTTAAACACTGCGTACCGTGTAAATGACTTCCCACAGCGTGACCACGAACTCACAGCCATCATTTGAAGACAGGGACAATAGAAAAAGCAGATGTGGACTAGAATATCATTTTATTGTTTGTCTGGTGCACCAGTGGCACAACCCCAACAAGTTCAACAAGTTCAAGTGTTTGTATCGAGTTTGTTTCCCTACTTATGATTTAAAGAGTTATAAGTCAGCAAAACAAATATTGGTAGAAAATGCAGTTAATAAAAAAAACGCAGAATCGGTGTAAAGCTCCTGATTCTGTGCCACAGAGGTTTTCAGAGTACGAAACGTAATTTGCGATGAAATAGAAAAAAAAATCCCCGTCAGCCCACGGAGCTGGTGCGACCAGTGAGGCTGGCAGTGAGTCAGCCTTTTGACAGGTTGCCATGACAACCTGGCCCGGCACAAAGCTCACCTCTGTGTTTCGAGGCTGCTCCGCCGGCGACATAGGCCCGGCCCTTATTTGCTGCGTAAAGCTCACCCTGGTTAAATATTTCTTCAGCACATCCAGTCTGCCGTCCCCCGATGGACCCACCATCCAGCCTCAAAGAGCCGAAGCGCAGTGGGAGGTCTGGTGTGCACGGGGGCTGATTCCACGCGGGTTTAATCCGTCCTCATGGGAACCACACTTCTGCAGAGACTGGGTGAAATTGATCATTTATGAGCTGCGAGTCATTTCGCTCGGTTGTGAAATATAATCTGTCTCTTTTTACGGGTTTCTTGTGCAGCCGACACGTTGTGAATTGAAAACAGTTCTTTTTCTTCTGGAGGTGCCGTCTTCAAACAGGTCGTGGCTTCTACAAAGTTTGCTGAAATGATGTCAAGAGACCTTCTGCCCATTGACCTCTTTCTTTCCCTTTCTGGTCTCTGTGGTACTAATGGTGCACACAGCTGAGCTCTGCATTGTGCTCGGGCAAAAGGAGCCAGATCAGACAGACCTCACCCCGGCTCCAACATTTCCCTCTAAACGCTTAATGTGAGTTTAATCGACCACGTCAGGACAGGGCCATTACTCTCACCTGCCCCCGTTCCAGTTCAGGAGCTGGAAGCTGGAATTCAGGTTCACATTTGTGGACTGAGGTTTAATACGCTGGAACATCTGAGTTGACAAAAATAGCCCAATGCTGCGTTCATGTCATATAACTGTTTATGAGAAGCTAAGTTGAAGAGATGCTCATCTTGTAAGAGTTGGAGATTTGGGGAATTCTTAGTGTCGGTCTCTCCCACTTTAAAATCGCGTATGAAGAATAATCAATTATCTGGTTTGAGTTAAAGAATCAACACCTCTAAGTTGGAACAGAGGTTTTCATGTTCTTCCCAACAGTTCATCAGTTTTGGGGGCCTTCAGTTGCCACGGAGACCGAGTTGAATTTGAATTTGAACTGTTGCTCCGTCATGTTTGACCCTCCTCTCCGTCTCCACGCAGGATACTACACGTGCGTGGAAGTCATCTTCACCCTGCGGCGACAAGTGGGCTTCTACATGATGGGTGTTTACGCCCCCACGCTGCTCATCGTGGTCCTCTCCTGGCTGTCCTTCTGGATCAACCCTGATGCGAGCGCTGCCAGGGTCCCTTTGGGTATGGATTATCTATAGATCATTCCCACCCATCCTCCGCTGGCACTCACCAATATGGAGGATCTGTAAATATCCTGTGTGTGTGTGTGTGTTTGGTGCATATTGCAGCAGTGTGAATGTTGTTGAGGTGATTAGGTGAAAAAAAAAGACTGGTCGATAAAATAAAAAAGGATTTCTGTGTTTTTTAGGGATCACTGACATTACGGCCCCAATTATCTCCATCATGACATCATCAATCACTTTGACACCACGAAGGACTTTATCTATCAAGCGTTGTGCTGTGGCCAGTGTTGGTCTGTGCGCGATAAATCACTGGACGGCGTCGTAATTGACAGATGGAGCCCGCAGCTGTGGTCAATATAGTGCAAATAGCAAGAATGCAGCTTTAAATACATGAGAATCTATCCGTGCATTCACCTGCTCCTCGGAAAGTCCCGTTTCACAATGTTCCGACTTCGGCATTTGTGTTTGTGTGCTTTCAGATTGGAATGTTGGAATATTTATGTGTTCAGAACATTTAAATAACACCATGACACGTCTTTCCTGGCAGATTTTAAAATGAGACGTCAGCAACTCATTTGCATTTTGTCGAGTTCTGATTTGATGTGGCGTTCACGTGATTTTCCCACTCAGGAGCTAATTTTTCCTGATTATTCCGACAGCACATGAATGCACTGTTAGCCAGGGATGGTTATGTGCCTATGTTATATATTCTTATATGAAAATATACAGTATATATATAATATATAGTCACTGGAGAGATCACGATTCAACCACTGATCTCACTCAATTCTAACTTTATCTTTAACTTTTTGAATCAAGATTCAAAAACAGATGATGTTGGGGACAAGGAGAGTTTCCGGGTGTTGACGAGACGGATCGCTCAGGAGACACTGGGCCGGCTAACGAGGAACACTGATCCCCATTAACCCGTTTAATGAAGGGTTGTGCTGAGCCCCACGAGGAGCTGCGTCCTTTTTCCAAACCAGGGAAGCACTCAACGTCTGTGGCCCGAAGAAAGTTCAGCTAGATTAGCAGATTGTTAGCCTGAGCCCAGAGGGGGGACGCGAGAATGTCTCAGCAGCGGTGGCGTCTAATTTAGTTTGTGTTTTTGTTCTCGCACTGAATAAATCACAGCTCGACAAGAACCACAGGAGCGAGCTCTGGTGTTTCTTCTGCTCGGTGCTGGTTGTTTGAGTTTCAGGAAACGCTGCATGCTGGACAGAAGCTCACACACTGTGTTCATGAACGTTGTTGGACGCCTCATTTAATTTAATGTCCTCAGTGTTGACATTCCTTCACCTCATTATGAGACACATCACATCGTCATCGTGTCACCAGTTTAGGTACAAAATGTATGAATGAGCTGAAAAAAACATAAATTGAATCAATGTGTTGTAATATATTTATCTTGTGCGCACCAGGTAAAAAAGTTGTGTGCACACAGAGTTAATATCTGCATAATGAAGACATGACTGGTCGAGACGTTAAAAGACAACGCTGCGTTGCGTTAATTGAAGTATTATGACTGAAACATCGTCCTCCAATCGACTGAGCCTTCAAAACACAAACAACAGATTTTAACTTGTTCCCACAAGATGATAACTTGTGCACACAATATAAAAAATATTTAATCTTTCAGCATTTCTAGGGCTCTGTTATTTTAAAAAAACGTTTCTTTGGTTTATACATATTCATCTTTCCCCACATAAGATTCAGGCTATAGAGAATATTTACATTTGATGTTTAAAGCTGCTGTTGTGAGGAAAGAAGTCATATCTACCTCTGACATCCCCTCCCCCTCCCCCTCCTCCATGATTGTGTGTGTCACACACATGTAGCATCACACACCCACCTCTGAATTTAGAAAATCCATTGTTATCCCTCTCCGGTCGTCAACTCCGTCCTTTTCTCCATCCTCCCTCCAGTTGTTTATCATGACTTTCATCCCATCATCACTCCAGCTCCACCTGGAAGCCTCCTCTGACTTCTTTTAAATGGGATCAGCGCAGGTCAGTCATCACCCAGGTGTGGGACCACTCTCATTTAAAGCTCTCTGTGTGTCTCTGTGTGTTTATATGTGTGTGTGTGTGTGTTAGCATGTGTGTGTGTGTTTTCTGTGCCCGTGTTCACTTGTGTATGTGCGTCTGTGAGTGTTTGTGTTTTCAGGTTAACGCAGCTTGTTTTTCTTTCAGCGCAATGGGAGAAAAAAGTAGTTTACAATTGTATCACAGGAATATTCATCTTTTCCTGCCTGATGTGAGGAGCCGATTTATTTTGAACACAAAAAGCTGAATATGTCGTAGACAAACAACAAAACTATCTCAGTATTTCAGTTTTTCCTCTCGTGGATAAAATGTGGATCTCGTCTTTTTGACTTTATTTAAATCCTTTGAGGAGGACTTGTTTGATTTAGACGTCCTGGACCTTGTATGAACCCGAGTGACTACTCCGCAGACAAAACCCATCGGCCGCTCTAACGTGTTTATTGTCTGCTAGAAGAAGCGTTATGTGAGAAAAAGAGGAGCGAAGCCCTTCATTGGTGGTGAGAAGACACTCTTAAGAGTTGCTGTAATTATTTCTGCTGTAGCCTGAAACAAGTGCCGCTGTGCAGATGGGATCTCTAACCTGTAATCCTGTTGAGTACCAGAGCTAAAAACAATTTAAAACGACTCCGGCATTAAGAGGCTGTCTGAGCTCTCGGAGATGTCCCAATAAAAGGGGTAAGGGGACGGTCATGTTTTCAGACGCTATGTGGGGACGCTGGGACGTTAACTAAATGCACGACTCTACTCCTTCAGGATGAGGTGGCAGAGGAAGCAAACGTCCAGGCAGGAGAAATGTCTTCAGCTGTTTGTTTTGATATCATCATGATCCTCACTAATCAAAACAGGTTTATATCGACAAATACAGAATGATGCCGGATGATAAAACAATATCGATGCCATATTGTTTTCATCCTCAGCAGAATTACAGGAGGTGTGACACAGAATTTTTATACGTCGGTGTTTTACTGACAAATAAACGGGTGGAACTACTGAAATCTCAGCACAGGAAACTGAAGTGAGGTGCATTAGAGAGAGAAATTCACCGTGGAAACAATTTTTTTTTGTTTTGACATCCAACTGTCTCTCGCTTTGCTGATTGACAAGGTCACTTCTCCTCCGTCTCTGTTCAGGGATCCTCTCGGTGCTCTCTCTGTCCTCTGAGTGCACCTCCCTGGCGTCGGAGCTTCCAAAAGTGTCCTACGTCAAGGCCATCGACATCTGGCTCATCGCCTGCCTGCTGTTCGGCTTCGCCTCGCTGGTGGAGTACGCGGTGGTCCAAGTGATGCTCAACAGCCCGAAGCGCATCGAGGCCGAGAAGGCCAAGATGGCATCCAAGGAGAAGGCGGCGGGAAAGAGCCCGGCCGCCAAGAACAACACGGTCAATGGGACCGGAGGGACGCCGCTTCACGTCAGCACGCTGCATGTCAGTGGATCCGGTTTGATAACTTTGGTGTGTGTGTGTGTGTGTGTGTGTGTCTACATCATGTCTTTACCATCAACACACGAGACTACTGGAGCCAGAACGATGTTCTCCTTCTCGCGATTGTGCTATTGTCGATATCCAGAGTAAAAATCCTGCATCACATTCATATACAGACGGCTGCTGCTAGAGACTGTCTGTGTTTCGTGTGGAGAAACGTTCGACAGTGTGCGGAGTCTAATATCCGCTCTCGGCACCCGAGGCTCCAAAATATTGCCAACTGCCCCCAAATGCTATTTCAGCGTTAAATAACCGATCGATAACTGAGCCCATGACTCCATCGTACACCTCAGGCAAAGACTTCACTGTCCAGTCAACATCACTGGAGCACGGACACTCTCCTCTATCTGTTTATTTACCAAACCCGACACAAACAGCCGAGGGTTCATGCAGACTCAAGGTATAAATAAGTATTTATTACTCGTTGGGACAAAGTCAAGGGTTGTTGAGCTCAAGTTGTGATCAGGTTCTGCTTTCTCACTAAATCTCTACTAACGACCCGATCACGTCCATAGTCAGAGTATAAATAATGTCCTCTCGGGTTTTGATGCTGTATTTAAGTACTTTGCAAGTTCAGTGTGGATACTGTGTGTTTCTAAGTAAAACCCCACCTCAAAAAACAGCACAATGCCAAACATGATATTCCAGATTCAATCCAACTTCCTCTTCATGACAGTGAGGCTCGGAGATCAGGGAAATCCAGCCTTCGGTGTCTTCGGAGGTCTAACATCAGGCGTGCAGTGCGTTGTGCTGATCCTCCAGTTGTCCGCTTAATTAAAATGAATTTACCTCTGCGTTACTCCAGACCACATTCGGTATTAAACCTCGATCATTCCATCGAGGTTTAATAGGTTTTCTTGTCAAAACCAAATCAAAATAATGAATCTTTAATGAGCTTAATGACTTCAGAGAGTCTGATCAGATCCCGTTCACCCCGCAGGCCTTCAGGCACGTTGATGAAAGGGATTTCTTTTGGATGACATTACACTACATCCAGCCAGCGAAGGGAGAGCAGCCATATCAGGTTGTGTTTGAGAGGACACAGTTAATCTGATCACAAATCTTTCTCCTTAAATAACAGTGAGTGTGATTTATCACTACGATCTGTGTCCGACCTTCAGGATCAAACAACTCATTTTAAATAATCCTGCACAGCAGAATTTAAAGGTCTCAGTTTAGCAGCTTGAATGTGACGTCTGAGAGACAGAGCTGCTGTTCTATTCTATTCTTTTCTAACAGAAGCCGTAAAAAGTGAAGCTAAGATATCCCAGATGTACGTGCCGCCATCTTGCCTCTTTTGTCGTTCAGAGTCTGTGCAGTAGCGATCGTGGCGTGGATCTGCGGTATTCTGGTTCTGCCGTTAACCGCTCTCGACCAATCGCGAACCAATCATGACGTCTCACCCTGTTAGTCCATCATCAAACGACTACACACTGAAGCCTTGAACAAACATCAGTGTCATAACAACTAACTATGAACATGTCCATGTCCCATCCACTGAAATGGAGGAGGCAGGGGGTTTACGACTTATACTGCAGTCAGCCACCAGGGGGCAGTAGATGATTTGTTGATTTGTTTGCTCTCAGCTGAGCCACATTTTTACGTTGTGGTGGATAATTTATCGTCCGTCTCGAGGTTCACAGCCTCAGGCGTCTCAAATATTATTTGTCCTGTCAGATTATTTTACAGTTTATGATGTTTACAAGATACTTCCATTATTTTTAAAGTACTATTTGAACGAGTATTTGGCGAACTCTCAAAACTGATTTATAGTGAATTATTAGCTGTGGTTAAAAAACCAGCTCAGTCA